TTGCCGACTCCTGCTTTAGATCAAGCAGGAGTCGGCAACCCGCGGCTCTGGAGCCGCATACGGCTCTTTTATCCCTCTGCTGCGGCTCCTTGTGGCTTTGGAAAAAAATAATGAGTATTTTAATTTAAATGTCTTAGCTCATTAATTTTTAAAATGTAATTCTAAATTTGAAGATTTTTATGAAGTTGTAACATTAAAATAAAATGTGTTAAATGTTTTTGTTGCTCAAAATGTGCGTCACAACCGCCGATGTGTGACACCCGCCAGCACGCACAGTGGTGTCACCTTGATGACTTTCTCGCTGAATCTGGCAACTTTCCAAATCGTCTTGGCGATTTTTTCTTTTTTTATCTTTTTCTTTTTCTTTTTTTTTAAAATGACTAGTGATAAATGTAGCGACTCGTTCTGGTGTTACTGGAGACTTTTCTGGTGTTTTGGAGACTCTGACAAGAAAAGACGTATCGTTCTGCAGTTACTGACCTCAGCGAGCAGCAGTGCTGCCGTGAGCTCCTCCCGTCCCAAAGCGCTCACAGGCGGTCAGCAGTGTGGAGCAGAAGTCCCAGCTGCAGTCAGCAGGACAACCAGACGGCATGTTTACTGTGCTGCAGGTGGATAATTTAAGATCGGCTTTTTATTTCATAAATACAAGGAGGAAATAGATATTTATTTATTTTTTTTTTTTTTTTAAAGAAACCTTCAACCCAGCGTATTTTTGTTTGTTTGTTTTTTGAGTTCAAAATGTTTTTGTTGCAGAAATAAAATTTCGTTTTCTCTGTCGCAGTTCATTGAGTTCATAAATGCAACACACTATAGTTTTTTTTATACATAGCATGAAGGTGAAAACGATAAATGCAGTGTTATCTTTATTTTAGATGTCAAAAAGGTTTGCGGCTCCCGGTGTTTTTTTTCCTGTGGGAAACGGGTCCAAATGGCTCTTTGAGTGTTAAAGGTTGCCGACCCCTGATCTAAAGGATCAAGCGGTGGATAAATAATGGATGAAGGATCTCTGATTGAT